ATTATCTCATATAACTAATATGGATAAATGAGATAAATAGATTATATATCTCTTATATGGGATATGGGTGATTAAGAGAAAAATAACGTATGTTTGAGTTTTTCCCATATACTGACTCTCTCCCAAAAACAACGATCAAAGCCATTTGCACTGTGGTTTGTGTGTGTGATATTCACTATTGTAATATCACCCCATTGCTGGGTTGATTGACCACATTCAGGAAGCACGTGATTTACCCACGAGATCCCTCAATTGAGACTCTGTTTGAAATGTATGACTATAATTTTTATTTCGCTGCGTTATACTTTGTTTACAATATATCATTAAAATTAGTGATAGTAATATTAAAAAATGAGACCTCCATTTAAAAAAGTAAAAAGAAAAAAGGAATCCACGAAAGACTGACATTGATCAGTATACGAATCTAATTAGCTTGAGAAAAATATTTAGTATTGATCAAATAACTTATATAATATTGTTCTAACTCCATAACACTTTCCGCACATACAAAAATGTGGCATGTAGTTGGGTAGTATTTGGAGGTAACAGAGAGATGAAAGATGAGAGAATGGGCTCGGGTAGAGAGTTGGCCACTTGAAGACTACCCAAAACACAGCTTTAGTACCTTGTTCAAACATCAAACTCAAAACCAATAGTCTATAAAAAATAAATTAATCAAGTTTAAATGAGTTGGTGAGACCATACAGGACAATTCTAACATTATGGTTGGATGCAGCCATTCTGCAGTGAATCTGGGAACATAAATAAATGAGATGATGGTCCACAAATTGGACATTTGGGGGGTTAATATTAATATATGGGTCACGTGAGAGAGGTATAGGCACACACCTGATATATCCCATCTTCATTGGCAGTGGCCAGTGAAAGTGAGAGCTCTCCTTCAATTAGCAAATGTGGCCCCTCTTCCTCACCTATTATCTTCCTACCACCTCAAATTTCTTCACATGGGAGGAGACCCCCCCACCCCTCCCCTGCAATTTTCCACTTTCATTCTGCTGCTTTTGAGTCTTCTGGTGATCAATTCAAGAAACGGTCCAAAAATAAAAATAAAAATTGCATTTAATATAATTATTATGGTTGATGTCCGAAATTGGTTCTTGATCTTTAAACAGTGTATAGTCTCAAAGAACACTGTTTAAAAAACTATTCCATCCGAAAGTGTGGCTGGCAATTAATATGTACCATGGTCATCTCGTCTGAAATTTGTCTCTTTAAACTATCATTGTGGGTTGTCTTTGAATTTGAGTAAGAATTTATAAAAGTGAAAAGAAACCGGTTTTGCTGATCGTTTGGAGGCCCAGTTGGAAGTTGCTGTCAAAGATATTCAAAAATCAAAGTTTTGAGGGACTTCATCCAACCAAAAGGAATGGTTTGTTAAAATTGAGATATTATTGATTGATATGTTTTTATTATTCTGTCTATTACAAATGGTTCCTTATATAGATGTAGGTGTAGTGGGTTAGGTTTAGTGGAGTAGGTGAGGTGGTAGTGGTGTAGTGTTTATGGATAAATTTTAACAGCCCTCCGCAAACTCAAGGAGGATAGGAACTAACCAACTTGAGTTTGGAGAGAGTTACAAAACAAGAAAATACATAAAAATAAAAGAGGATAGGAGACACTGTATGGTCGTGTCAGACCATTGGTGAAGGCACTGTATGGTGGTGTCATAACGGTGTAGAGGACACTGTATGGTGGTGTCATAACGGTGTAGAGGACACTGTATGGTGGTGTCATAACGGTGTAGAGGACACTGTATGGTGGTGTCATAACGGTGTAGAGGACACTGTATGGTGGTGTCATAACGGTGTAGAGGACACTGTATGGTGGTGTCATAACGGTGTAGAGGACACTGTATGGTGGTGTCATAACGGTGTAGAGGACACTGTATGGTGGTGTCATAACGGTGTAGAGGACACTGTATGGTGGTGTCATAACGGTGTAGAGGACACTGTATGGTGGTGTCATAACGGTGTAGAGGACACTGTATGGTGGTGTCATAACGGTGTAGAGGACACTGTATGGTGGTGTCATAACGGTGTAGAGGACACTGTATGGTGGTGTCATAACGGTGTAGAGGACACTGTATGGTGGTGTCATAACGGTGTAGAGGACACTGTATGGTGGTGTCATAACGGTGTAGAGGACACTGTATGGTGGTGTCATAACGGTGTAGAGGACACTGTATGGTGGTGTCATAACGGTGTAGAGGACACTGTATGGTGGTGTCATAACGGTGTAGAGGACACTGTATGGTGGTGTCATAACGGTGTAGAGGACACTGTATGGTGGTGTCATAACGGTGTAGAGGACACTGTATGGTGGTGTCATAACGGTGTAGAGGACACTGTATGGTGGTGTCATAACGGTGTAGAGGACACTGTATGGTGGTGTCATAACGGTGTAGAGGACACTGTATGGTGGTGTCATAACGGTGTAGAGGACACTGTATGGTGGTGTCATAACGGTGTAGAGGACACTGTATGGTGGTGTCATAACGGTGTAGAGGACACTGTATGGTGGTGTCATAACGGTGTAGAGGACACTGTATGGTGGTGTCATAACGGTGTAGAGGACACTGTATGGTGGTGTCATAACGGTGTAGAGGACACTGTATGGTGGTGTCATAACGGTGTAGAGGACACTGTATGGTGGTGTCATAACGGTGTAGAGGACACTGTATGGTGGTGTCATAACGGTGTAGAGGACACTGTATGGTGGTGTCATAACGGTGTAGAGGACACTGTATGGTGGTGTCATAACGATGTAGAAGACAGTTTATGGGGTCATGGTCGGGACCGTTGTAAAAGGTGCACCCTCAAAAGGTGTGCCCAATTTGTCAAAAGGCGTGCCATCAAAAGGCGTGCCTAATTCATCAAAAGGTGTGCCCGGACATGATGGCGAGGCACGTGGGCGCCTTGGCTTGCGCGCCCGTTTTGTCGTCTGGTGGCAAGAGGCACGCGATGCGCGTGGCTGCCTTGGCTATTTAACCAAGGTTGATGCTGAGGCTGAGGCAGACAAAAAACTTCTGAAAATCTCCTGAAAAACTCTTCCGTTGCTGAGAGAGATATTCTTGAACACTCTGTTGCCCAGAAAAATGGCTTCGTCTTCCCGCGGCTGCTCACCCTCTTTCCCGACCTCAACGAGAGAGAGAACTGTGGCGGTGGCACTGGAAACTCAACCAAGCGCCCCGGAGGTTTGCTCCGTTGAACTTTCCGATGCGTCGGTGGAGCAAAGAATGGCAGTGCAGTCGGATGTGGAGGCTAATCAGTATACTTGAAGTCATGTGTGGAAACCATGACGGCGGTCACAAACTTGTCGAACCGGCTGCAGAGTAGGACAAATGCAGGTGCAGCATTTAAACGCCCAACTGGCTCTGCTCCAACGCATGTATAAGGATGCGCGAGCAGAGATAAGTGTGCTGAAAGCAGAAAATAAGGACTGAAGCGGAAGGCCACCGTTATGTTCCGATTTGGAGGTCCGCCATATGCTGCAGTGGAGGAGCAGGGATAGTGATCGTGCCCAGTGGAGTGGGAAACACGGAGGCAACACCGGCAAGGACCGCCTAGGACGGAGGCAAGAAGAAGAGACCTGCAGCAGATAGAGAAGAAAAATCCCACGGTTTCGATTGTGTTGTTGTTGTTGGTTTTTTTTTTTTTTTTTTGTGTGTGGTGTAAAAGGTGATCGGGGTGAGCCCGACATGAATAAAATGAGTTGGGAGTGCAGTTCGTCTTCTGCCTTTTTTTTTTTTTTTTTTTTGCTAGCCAAAAAAATAATAATAATAATAATAATAATAAGAATAATAATAATAATGGAAAAAAGATGAAAAAGAAAGTGGAGTAGAGGATGGGTCTCAGCAATACCAAAAGGAGTGGAGACAGCATATTACAAGAAAAAAAAAAAAAGTGATGATGGGCGGTGGGATCAGACAGCTGCTTTATGTGAAAGATAAAATGTAGGGGACGTGAATATGAAAATAAAAAGAAAAGAAAAGAGAGGGTTAAAAGTGAGAGAGAGAGAGAGTCATTGGATGCATGTCTCAAGGTGTGCTGTCCGTGTGTGTGACTCGCATGTGCTCGCCTCTACAACCATCCCATTGGGACCCGAACCCATCTCAGTGACCAAGAGAAGCATCAGCACCACCAAAATGGTTGAGAATATCAAGACACAAGCCTTTTTTTTTTTTTTTTTTAAGCAAGCAACTTAATACATTCTTTATACAGGAGGCCTGGGTTGGGGCTAACCCTCCACATGTGATGGCATTCTCTACCGAGTTCGAACGCAGAATACGAACAAGAAGCTCAGACACATACTCGTTTTTCTTCTTCAAAATGGTGGCAGAGATATGGGTATTAACGGTGGAGAGAAAAGTGAGGAGGGCTGCGACGACGTGACTGGGCGGCTCAGCCTCGGCAGAGAGGCGGTCGAGGGAGGAGCAAGTAGCGCCGAAGTAAGCGACGGGAGTGAGAGGGAGCGGTTGGTCTTTGAGCTCCTGAGACATTGCGCCGATGATGACGCAGAGGCGATGGTGGTGGTCCTCCGTAGAGGAGCTGAATCGAGTGATGATTGAGTTGCAGAAGTCATTGGTCTCGTCGGCCGCCGTGTACGGCGGTGGTGCATCAAATTCGAATCCTTCCATGGAGAGGTGGCACAGACAAAAGATGGGTATGTGTAGTAGCGCTTGATGAATTTGTGAGGTAGTAGTAGCGCTTGATGAATTCTTCCACTGATGAGACTGAGATGGGTATGTGTAGAGGTCCGGCGGGCGGCCTAAGACGAGGTTGCCGCCCGCCGATGAAGCGAAATTATTAGAGTCTTAGCTCTGCTCTGATACCATGTTAAAATTGAGATATTATTGATTGATATGTTTTTATTATTCTGTCTATTACAAATGGTTCATTATATAGATGTAGGTGTAGTGGGTTAGGTTTAGTGGAGTAGGTGAGGTGGTAGTGGTGGTAGGTTTATGGATAAATTTTAACATGGTTGGGTTCTTAAGCTCCATCATCAGGTTAGTTTACTCATTCTATTTATATGACCTTTTTTTTTTAAAGATGGTTTCTATTTACATGACTTAATATGCTTTTACTTGGTATGCAAGCTAAGCATGTGTGTTTGGGGTTAATTAATTTGCATGTGTGTTTAATTAATTTGCAAGGTAAGCATGTGTGTTTAATTAATGAATTTGCATGGATTTTCAATTTCTATGGGTAGAAAAATTAATATGAGAAAAATGGGATTTGGGCATACTTTTTACATTCAAATATAATCCAAGACCACCCACATCAACAGATAAGATGAGATTGTTAGATTTCTATCCATATTCTCTGCATAAAGGCAATCGTAAATTACATGAGTCTTCTAATGTGTCATGGATCATATTATCATGGACACCTTAATCTAGATCCGAAACCCAATCTAATTTAACAATATAATATTCATCAAGTGTTGAGTTAAAGTAAAAATTTGAAGAAAATGGTATGGTAAACGGCTGTTGACTAGCATGAACAAAATGTTCATTCATAAAATATACTAAACAAACCAACTTTAATTAAAATGATTTTTAAAAATGGATTTTTGGTGAAAAGCCCCTTTTATGGGGGCTTTTTTGTGTGAAGCCCACCAAATAAAATAATAGTTTCAAAAGTCCCTCAAATAAAAAAATATGATGAAAAGGCTGAAATGCCCTTCCATATAATCCAAAACCCTCGCTGAACCACTTCTCTTCCCTTTCTATCTCTACATTACTGGTATCCTCTCGCTTCTCTTTATTTTCTCTCTTTTTAAGCCCTAAACCCTTTTGATCTCCATTTTCGATCCATCTTACAAAATCGAAATCTTGAAATCGTCCCTTGAAATCCATCACCATCTCAGATTTGATGCCTATGAACTCATGTTTGAGATCAATAGTTTCAGATTTGAGATAAAATGACCTTATATATGTCCAAAAAAATGATAAATTGTTATATTACAATAAAAAATCGAGAGTTTTTTATTTGTTTGTTCATAGATCTAAAGTAAAATTCGACTATAATTCATTTATCTAATATGTACTCTGTTTTCGCAACAGTAAAATTTTACTCTGGTTAATGAAAAATAAAGTGTATTATCTTATGCATAGACAAACATTCAACACCACAGTAAAATTTTACTTTAAGATTCAGAGTAAATTTTACTCTGAAATACAGTAAAATTTACTAAAAAACAAATCAGAAACTGCATAGACAAATATTCAACAATATAGTAAAATGTTACTTTCAATTCAGAGTAAATTTTACTCTAAAATAAAGTAAAATTTTACTTGAAGATTCAAATTTTACTCTGAAGATTCAGAGTAAATTTTACCAGAAAACAAATTAGAAACTGCATAGATGAACATTCAACAACACAGTAAAATTTTACTTTCAATTCAAAGTAAATTTTACTCTGAAATGCAGTAAAATTTTACTCTGAAATAAAGTAAAATTTTACTTGCATGTTAAGAAAATATAACAGATAACACCAGAGTAAAATTTTACTCTCATTTTATGAAACAAAAACAGAGCACAAACCAAAGTAAAAGTTTACTCTCATTCTGTCAAACAAAAACAGAGCACAAACCAGAGTAAAATTTTACTTTAATCATGTCAAACAAAAATAGAGCACACACCTGATTGAACTCAGCAAATCAACAAAAACAAATAAAAAATAACAACAGATTTATACAGCTTTGCAACGTAATCTCTCATTTAATTGAGAGTGTTGATCTTAGATGGCGAGATCGTGTATTGTTGACCAAGGGTGAGATCGTCGACAGTGAGAACTTTAGACTTTGAAATCGTCTTCATGGATTTCGCAGATCTTCTTCACTTTGTAGATCATCTTCAAGATCGTTTTATGCATGAGTTGAGATTGTTTAAATATATGATATATATATATATATATGAAGGCAATATGGTCAAAAAGAAAAAACAAATTATAGAATGTCCTTATTGAGTTGAGCTTCTCTTACTCAGGTACTTTTTGAAGGAGAATTTATTGAGTTGTCCTTTATCTTAAAAAAATGTCCAAAAAAAAGGGTCTCATCCCCGTAAACAATGTTTCTTATATGAATATGAATCCATATAAGAGGCCCAAACTAGTTGGACTAGCCCTGGCCACAAATGAAAAATGCCCAACTAGACTTGGTTAGACTCAAACCTTCTTTCTTTCTTTTTTGTTTTTGAAACCCAACCGTCATGGCTTAAAACGGTTATAAACCGCTTCCCGCCTTTGCTGTTTCTTTTCTAATTGCCCCCCAATACCTATAAAACTGTCACTCAAATTCATCCCATTTGCCTTTCCTCTTCGCACACACCCCACCACTCTCCCCGCAGCGGCGCTTGGTTGTTCCCCCACCAGGCGCCGCTCTCCACCGCTGCTACACCAGGCCAGAGTGGAGACGAACTAGAAACAAAGGCTCTTCATAACCGTCATTTGTAGCATTTCATGGTAGATCCAATGGCTGTTCTTCCTTACCATGACCCTTTTGATGACATCCCATCTCTCGAAAACTTTCTCATGTTTGATGAAAATCCCAATCTTGGCCTCGCTGTAGTAGAACCCAATTCTTCCAATCAAACAATCATTCAATCTTCTAATGACATTGCCGAGGCCAACGATCCACTGGCGGATCCAATTATTTGGGGCAACTATTATCCTACCACCGCCACTCCCAGTAATTCTCAAGCGGGTCCTAGTGAATTTTGTGGTGAAACAAGCCGTCGTGAAGAAATTCCCCAACCACCACAAAATTTAGAATTCGGAAACCCGGTGCAACTGCCAATTTGGCCAGTGCCACCGGTTCCATATAGTTGCACTTGTTGCCAAGTACTAAGAGAAATAATCCATACTAATGGTATGTTGTCCGTGTCGTACTATTTTGATCCACTTCAATTGATGCATTACATGTACCCATATATAGAAGATAATTGTCCATTTATGTATATTCTGTGTTTGGCTATGTGTTTATAGCAAAACTATTTGTTATTTACATATGTGTAGTTAATTACACCTCATTTGCATTTTAATTGATGGTAGGCATCCAAGTGACGAAGCTTGAGATTCATGGAAGACTTGGTCTGATCTGTCATGCAATTCTTGAGACCCAGCCGTATAACGGGGATTGGACTACTGGAAACCAGTATCACATGTTTGAGTAAGTTTGATTTGATAATATTCTGGGTAATACCATTCTATTAATTAATTTATTGGCAATATTTTAATTCTCAAGTTTTTTGAAGGAAAGTGGTTGTCGTTCATAGAACTTGTTTTTTCATATCTAATGTTGTTATTCATAAGTTTAACACTTGCCATTCAAAATGCAAAGTAGTAAAATTGTTGGTTTTTCAAACTCGAAACCTAATGGATTGGGTTAATTAATTGTTCAGTTTTTGCAAGAAAAGCATAGAGTGTGTGAGGGAGTTTCTGATTCAATATTGCGAAGAGCGTAAACAAGGTGGTTATACCATGCTGCAAGATCCACTTTTGGTATTCTATGAAGCCTTGTGTGTGGGATTGAATGGGGAGGATGACGATCTGGACATTGATGATTTCCTTCAACCATCTGCGGCAGATTTAGGAGGTGAGCTTCTCTTCCTAAATCTATGTTTCAGCATTAATGCAACCACTCTGGGTTTTTTTCTTCTTTTTAATATTTGTATTCATGTTGATGTATTAGTGATGTGTTTACTGTTGTACCCATTTAATTTTCATCAATAATATTTCCTTTTTGTGGATAAAAACACCAAAACGCTTTTGGGCAGGTGCACACCAAATGAACCAACAACCAGCAGGGGGGCCTGGGAGAGCAGAAGTGAGACTTCCTAAGAGCTCTCTTGCAATGCAGGTTTGTAGTACTAACTAATTTACAAAAATGTTATGTATTTAGAAAAAAAAATCTATATTTTGAATTAGTAGTGTAGACTAAACTTGAGTGTTGTGTGAGTTAGAAATTAATGCATTTCAAATTCTAGACATTTTTCTTCATATTTTTTTAACCCAATGATTATTCAATGTGTGGGACGGGAGGACTGTATTTTAAGCTGTAATTTTGTTTTGTTTTTGATGTTGTGATTTATTTTGGTGTTTGGTATTATTGTGTATTTGATGAGTAGTGCAGAGGGAAAGAACAGGGAAGTTGACAGTGAAAGACTTGATAGGCTACTTCCATATTCCTATAGAAGAGGCAGCAAAGAAACTGAATGTCTGCCCCACCGTCATGAAGAAGATCTGTCGCAAATATGGCTTATCACGCTGGCCATACAGAAAGGTCTCTCCCTCTCTCTCCAAATTATTATTCTATTAAGAATTATGGTTTTTTTTTTTTTTTTTTTTTTTTTTTTGGGTGTTTGTTGTGTTCAATATATCATTTTTTTTTTAAAAATGGTAATGGGTACTACAGATAAGAAGTATTGAGAGGCAAATATCAGAAAGAAGAGCAAGTTTGAGTGCGAGGGATGCAGAAGAACGGGCACGTGCTCAAGCTGATATAGAGAGCCTTCAACAAACACTTGCCAGTTTCTTTTCTGCATTCACTGATTGAATTGAACATATGTATGTGTACATATCATACTTGGAAATTAATTGATAAATGTAGTCTATCCAATTTTTTCTTCAACTCAACAGACTAGTCAGTGTGTGCGCTTTTGTGAGAGCAGATAGTGTTTTGCTCATGAAGGAATAGAAAAAGCACCCAGGATCGTCTAGAGTTTTTTTTTCTTAAAATTTTTTAAAATGGTGTGTTGTATGGGTGAGATTTAATACTAAAAAATTGATGTGACTTGTCATTAAATCCCAACCATACAACACACTACTCTAAAAAACTTTACAAAAAAAAAACTCTAGAGGATCCTTGCTCTAGAAAAAAGAGTTCGGGTAAATGTTGGATCTTGCACCTTTAGTTTTCACTATATTTTTTAGTAACTTTTAGCAGTTAAAGAGTGCAAGCTGCAATATACAAAATTTTAAGGTATAAAGTACAATATTTTATTTTACAAGGGAAAAACTGCAATTATTAAAAATTAATGAACGCAAAATGCTATTTAGATTTACCCAAACTTTAGCCATGTTCCATAAATATTATCGAAAAAAAATTTGAATGGAATAGTGATATATTCAATAATTTTTTTGTTATTTACCTTTCTCTTTCTCTGTATATGTATATTAGTGGATGTCCGTGCCTATAAATTATGTTGAGATAAAAATACAGTTGTAATTTATACGTATGATGTTGAAATTTGATAAAAATACTAAAGAATTTTTAATAATTTTACTTGTACCATACGCTCTATAGAATTGAAATAAAAATAACAATATATTACAAATCAAAATAGTGAAAGCATACCTGCCAAGCAAGTTAAGAAAAAATTATAAACACTAAACAAAACACAACAATTAAAACTATTGTGCACTTGTTAACGCTTTATAATCTAAAAAAAAATTCTAAACACTAAATAAAGCACACCAGCAAGTGCTATGTAATCTCAACAAATCAAATTAAAAATTAAATATTAAACAATACGTACCAACCTATACTCTACAATTCCAAACAAATCAAATAAATCAATACACACTAACCAGTGCTCTGCAATCTAAAAAAAAAAAATGAATCCACACCAGCTAATACTTTACAATCTTAAAAAAAAAAAAATTAATTAAATTAAATATCTAACAATGCACACTTGCTAGTACTACCGTTGCCAATCAAAATTATAACCACATAAGCAAAGCAAACATAATACATCTGAGTCGATAATATGTGTATACTTTACAAAAGAGTCGGTTAAAGCTTTACAAAATATGTGTATACTTCAACCTAAAAGTATTTGGTTACATCAAAGAACAAAAAAGCGATACTAAATCAATTATACATTCTTGAGAATTTTCATACAACCTTAAAAAAAATTAACCATATATGGAAATCAAATGTTTTTTTTTTTTTTTTCCAAATTAGTTGTATGTGACGACCTACCACGTATAACATTTTGTATTTAATTAATCAAGATGATTTGGATTTTAATTAGTTATTATTCTGATTTAACTTAAATCTTATATATGCGTGTGTATGTGTGCGTGCGTGTGCGCGTGTGTGTGTGATATATAAGTTATGTCTTGTCTATGTAAAGGTGCATTATAATTGTTTTTAGTTCATCATGTATGCACAGCTCAATGGACAATATTATTTGTTTTGCTTCTTCTTTAGACCTCAATATGATTTAAATATTTTAAAATTTTGTCTTTGAGGCCGTAGGTAATCTATGATTATTGGCCGGTCACTACTCTAACTTCTAGGAGTGGGTTGGGGTCGTGATATTGTACATTCAGTTGAATTTATTTGGATAATAAAACCATCGGTAGCAAATCAGATTAAAAAATCCAAAATTTAATTTAAGGGTTGGTTTGGGGTGTCTTAAAAAAGTGCATTTTTTGTCTTTTTATAAAAAGATGTGCAGAAAAGTAGAGAGGTGATGTGATGAAAAAAAATAAAAAGATGGATTATATAGTTCATGCCAAACCAACCCTTATAAATACTTGGCTAGTTACAATCAATATGAGAAGAAATAAATAAAAATTTTAAAAAAACACATAAAATAAAAATGCAAACATTAACAGTAGGAAAATAATTATCTACAAATTAAGAAAACAGTAAGACGCTTATATCGACGAATTTAGTATGCAAAATCTAGTATGTTTTTCTAAACATGCCATGATCTTCAATAATAATTATATTTTTAATGAAAAAAAAAACATAATTTTTGATCAAGTTAAACGTGAATAAGCTATGAAAACACATACAAAATATATCTCTCTAAGACAAATTAGACATTTTCAAAAATTTTCACTTGTACATTCGGTTGAATTTATTTGGATAATAAAATCATAGGTAAATAACGGTCATGGATATAAATAATTAAGATATAAACATTTAAGATAATAGTAATAAAAACACATATAAAAAATAAAAAATAAAGGCTTACCTTGCAAGAAGCTTGTCGGGAATTTATAAAAATATAAATATTAAGGATAGAAAAATAATTATTTACGAATTAGAGAAACACTGAGATACTCATATTTAGTAGGGACAAAAGTCCCACTTATGCAAAATCTATTATGTTTTTCTAAATATACCATGATCATTAATAATAATTATGTTTTTTTAAAATGAACATAATGAAATTTAATAATTTATCAACATAAAAAGATGCAACCCAAAATTATAAAATTCACCATTTATGATTTATCACCTAGAGAGTCCAAACTGAAATTGAAATTTATGCAGAAAAAACATTATAAAAAAAAATTACCAAACAACCATTCCAATGAAGCAATAAATTTGAACACACACATATAAATTTGATGAAGGCAACTAAAGCAATTGCACAGTTTATGTTATCCACCTAAAAATTGATGAATAATGTGGGTATTTGGATAGTGGGTTTTTTTTGTAGGTTTTTTTAGTTGTAGGATATTATTAGAGAATTTTTTTTTGTGTTTGGGAAGATAGTTAGATTTTTTTTGTGATTGAATGTGATGTTTGTGAGAGAAAATGTGAAATGATTATGGGATTTGATGTGATATTTTGTTTGGATTTATTTATTTTTTATTTTGTAACCAATTTGTCTTTTAGTGAAAAAAAAACCAAGAAACTTCCTTCCCAAACAGCGCCTTCACATTAAATAGATGATTTAAAAAAATACAAACGATTAAATATCAAATGTAGAGAACCCACTGCTTTGAAAAACGAAAAAAAAAAAAAAGAAAAGAAAAGAAAAGAAAGAACAAATAAGAAATCAAACAAAACCAATTATGTGAATTGAGAATTAATGATGTGTTTGGCAACAGACTAAAAAGTCAAAAACTTAAAGCCACAAAATCAGTTGTCACGAGTTTTTTTTTTTTTTTTTTTTTTAAAAAAAAAAGAAAAAAAAAAGAGCAAACAAACAAACAAACAAATATCACATTAGAATGTTTCACTCACTAAAAAAAATAATTTTTTTAAACGCGTTAATTAAAAATAAAAATAAAAATGAATCCCAAACAACTAGTTAATAATCTTGTAATGACCATCCAAACAACGCTTAGCATGATCCAAAGTGGTTGGAAACAATAATAGCATGATCACATTACATATAAATATCACATTAGAATGTTTCACTCACTAAAAAAATAATTTTTTAAACGCGTTAATTAAAAAAAAATTAAAAATGAATCCCAAACAACCAGTTAATAATCTTGTGATGACCATCCAAACAACGCTTAGCATGATCCAAAGTGGTTGGAAACAATAATGGCATGATCACATTACATATAATTTGATAATTTGATTTTTATTTTTAAATAAAAATAATAAAACAAAAATCAAATTGTGTAATTTTTATTGCCCAAGACAGGAAAATAAGGAATAGTACTATGTTAACCGGTTCATCAACATAAAAATGGGATCAATTTATCAATATAAAAAGATGAAACTCAAATCATAAAACTAAATCAAAAAATTGATAGAACTCACAAATTTTTAGAGAGAGATAGGATAGTTGATGAACAAAGGCCTCTTTTTGGGAAGCTGGTTAAAAGCCATCTTTTAACTTTTAACCAATTTTAGGTCATATCACATTTCACATTATTTACTCATGAAAAGATAAAATAGGTTAAAAAAAATCAAAAAATCAACTTTTTAACCAACTTTCTAAAACACCCCAAAACCAAAAGGATGAAACCCAAATCATATTTTATAGTTTGAAGAGAAGGAAACCCATTTGAAGAGAGAGAGAGGGGCATTTGTTGATTGGGTTAGAGAGAGAAACCCATTTGAAGAGGAGCAAGGATCCTCTAGAGTGATTTTTTCTTAAAGTTTCTTAGAGTACTACATTGTGTGGTTAAGATTTACTGGCAAGTCACATAAGAAAAATTGATGTGACTTGCCAGTAAATATCAACCACACAATGTAGCACTCTAAGAAACTTTAGGAAAATTTCACTCTAAAGGATCCTTGGTGTTTGAAGAGAGCATTTTCAATCATCAATGTAAAATGATAAGAGGCTGGGACGGAGGGATGTGGGGCCTATGGGGTCATGTGCCTCCCTGACTTTTCAATTTATTTATTTATTTATTTTTGAGCTTACACGCAGTGCCTTAAATACATAATACACAGTAGCTCATTTGGCAACACACTTTGACCTACTGACACACGCATACATATACCCAATTTCTAAACACACTAACGCACACCCAAACACACATTCAATCTAATTAATTTTTTTTTTCTTGATTTATGGGAAAACGGTAGCAAGGGTTTTTTTATATATTTTATTTATTTTTTATCTCTTTTTGTTACTTTGTAATTTATCAACTCACGATTCACTAGATTAGGATCACACAATACAGATTTGGGATCACACTGCAACCTTGATATTTTCTCTTTATTGTTTACAGGTAACTTTATTTATGATTTTTTTTTAAAATAAAAATTATGAATATCAATTTATAGTTATTTGCTAAGTTTTGAATTGTTATTATTTATGTTAAAATAAGAGATTTTGATATGATAAAATTATGAATCTTAATTGGTGGTGATTATATTAAAAGTAGGGATTTTAG